ATATATATATATATATATATATATAGGATCTATTTCAAGAAGACTGGTGGAGCATGTTAAGAAGCACAGTTTACCACGAAGTGTGGTAGTGTCTAACATTCTCAAACATGCATTAGAATGTAGCAATACTCCAGTAATAATCGAGTTTTTTTTTTTAATAGCTACGAGGTCAGTCAAATTCACCAACCTTGTATAGTTTGTGTAGAAAAATAATACTGATAAAATACAAAGTTTTACTGAAAAAAAAACGTTTGAAATGTATTTAGGAGGTTTAAGAAATTATGCAAATGACATTTGAGATTTTTGAGATGAAAAGTATTTTTAATTTGAACATGAAAATCCTTTTGCACTTGGACTGGTCAAAAAAGACTCGATATATTCACAGTCAAATCTTTAGTAAAAATATTTCATTAAAAACTGATTTTGTGTACAAACAACCTGTAATGTTAACTAAACTTCTGCCATATTTTGTGAAGGTACACATACTGTATTAAAAGTTAGTGTTAAAACTATATACAAGTGAAAATGGTCACAATGTCTGTCCTTGGGACTGAGCCTGTATTGAGAGTTTGTAAATGGCTCAATGCTAAATGTGCAGTGCATGTACTATCTATATGTACTCTAGTCTAGTTGGCTAGGCTGTGGGCTGTGAAAATACTGTATGTGCCATTTGGTGGGAATTTCAAAGAAATGAACATCAGCCTTAGCTTTAGTATATCAAACTGAAACAATCGGCACTTTCACTGTGTTGTTGGAGGTCTCGAAGGCAATATACAAGAGAAAGGAATGATTCACATGTTATGCTGAGCAAAGAGAAAAGTGATTCACAACTGGGTTGTTTTGATTTGCAAATTGCAATACGAACTTGGATATTTTGTCCCCTCCATAATTCAACAATATCTCATGAGGTTCACTCAGCTTTAATAGGAGATTTAAGTTAGTCCTAAGTTACACTAAAAAGATGATGCAAAATAATCATTATAATAAAAATAGATATATTAACAATTTTTAAGGAATAAAGTATATCTTATTTATGCAACATAAACACTAGTGGTTTGCCTCATGCTCTTTCTCCTAAATTCTCTGTTCCTAGAATAACTTCAAATCAGTATATGGAAACCTTAATATAATCCTCCCTAACAACATCTTGAAATTGATGAAAGCCAATTACATAGCACTGGCAGTGTAACTTTATGGTAGCTGTACATTTGAGATAAATTACCACATGTTACTGTTTAACTAGACATGAGTGACAAGACAGTACAGATAGTACAATAAAAACTAACAATAATAAAAGTAATAAATAAATAAATAATAATATAGTACTGTTATTAAAATTTTCAATTACCAATGAAATTAAAATCAACTTACCACAGGGTCAAACTGTATTGGCCATCAGGGTTCATGAAGTCAAACAAAAAGAAAGATATTAGAACACAAAGTAAATAAACACACTAAAAAGTTGTGCTTCTAAACACTTACTATTTTTAAATAACCCATGATTCATAAATGTTACAAAAAATTATCATACAGGTAGCTTAAAGTATTTAAACTAAAAACATTATGAAACAGTTGTGAATTTTAGTTCTGAAAAAATGCTTTAACCTTTATTCTCAGTTTTACTTTTGTTGTGAAACCCAATTACTTATGTAGTCACAAGTTTCCACTTGATGATCTGCCCATTTTAAAATTATATAACAGCCAAATGTGTGTCTGTTATGCTCTGTATCTCTTGAACAAATAACTATAGGAAAAAAAAAATGTATATCAATATGCTTATTATGAAGAGTACATTACAGTAAAATTATTATTTTTTTGAAATTCTTAAAGTTTCATATCAATATCAGCATTGATCCATCAGTCTTCATATGTGCTGAATGTTCAATCTGAGAAGAAACTTATTAAGAACAAAAATATTTTTTTTTGGGAGAGAATTTCAGTGAAAAAAAAATGAGACTTCTTCCTTCGATTGATTGATTGAAATATTTTAAAGACAGGAGCATGAATGGTAAAGGCACACAAAAAGAGTAACGTGTTTGAGTATATATTTGTTATTCTTTGGTTTATATATTACCTTGTTGGTATTATATACATACATGATTTTATTCTACCATACCAACTAAACTGATATTATTTCAACTGAATATCTCCCTTTTGACACTTTTTATAGAAACAACAATTGTCAAAAAGCAATCACTTCAGTAGTAGTACTTTTCTTGCACTCAGTAAAATCACAAGGATTGGTGGAATCCAGCAGAAAAAAATTCCCAAGGCTACTTAGCGAACCTGAGTGCTCAATTATGCTGAATGCACCCACTGCATGAAAAAACAACATAGCATTGCAATCAGTCTCCTTTGCTTGAATAACAAATGCAATTTTCCTTGATGAAATAGCACATGGAATAAAAAAAAATACAGTTGTAAACAGCTCACTAGACAATCATATTGCA